GTATCCATAATTAGGGGTGGGAAGTTACCGTTACCGTTCCCAGGTAAGGGTAACTCTTCCGTTACTAGTTATCCGAGAATGGTAACGGCCCGTTACCAGTTACCGAGGAACGCGATAACGGCCATACTATTGGGGGTACCCTTGGGTCCTCAAGTCCTATTAGTGGAAGGTACTCTTGGCTCCTCAAGTGCTACTACCCAAGTCGATCGTTCCGGTCACCGGATACTGCAGGAACCGGCAGGAAAGACGTGGAAAGATCGCCGGTTCCTGCAGGAAAACACCGGAAATCAACGGAACATGGAAGCAGTATTCCGGCCGGAAATTTTTCGGACTTTTTCCGGCGGGTTCCTGCCGGAAAGAACAGGAATTGGCTGGAATCCACCGGAAAAAAATCCGAAAAATTTCCGACCGGAATACTGCTTCCATGTTCCGTTGCTTTCTGGTGTTTTCCTGCCGGAACCGGCCGGTACTTTTCGACCTGGGTATTACAGGGTACTCTTGAGCCCCAAGTCCTATTATTGAGAGGTAGCCTTGGGTCCTCAAGTCATATTATTGGAAGGCACTCTTGGGTCCTCAAGTTCTATTATTGGGGGGTACCCTTGGGTTCTCAAGTTCTATTATTTGGGGGTACCCTGGGTCCTCAAGTACTATTATTGGAAGGTACCCTTGGGTCCTCAAGTGCTACTATTAGAGGGTACCCTTAGGTCCTCAAGTCCTACTATTGATGGTACCCTTTGGTCCTCAAGTCCTATTATTGGGGGATACCCTTGGGTCATCAAGTCCTATTATTGAGAGGTATCCTTGGGTCCCCAAGTTCTACTATTGGAAGGTACCCTTGGGTCCTCAAGTCCTATTACTGGGGTATCCTTGGGTCCTCAAGTCCTACTATTGAGGGTACTTTTGGGTCCTCTACTCCTATTCTTGGGAGGCGCCCTTGGGTCTTCAGATGCTACTATAAGAAGGTACCCTTGGGTCCTCAAGTCCTATTGTTGAGAGGTATCCTTGGGTCCTCAAGTCCTGTTATTGGGGGATGTGGATGTGGGTGTGTGGGTGGGGATGTAAATGTGGGCGTGAGTGTGGGGTGTCGTTATGAATAAAATGAATACCTACACGCACACTCACACCTGCACTCACACCCACACCGCACACCCACACCTACATCCACACCCACACACCCACATCCACACCCACATCCCCCAAATATAGGAGTTGAGTACCCAAGGATACCTCTCAACAAGAGGACTTGAGGACCCAAGAGTACCTTCCGATAGTAGCACTTGAAGACCCAAGGGTACCCCCAACAATAGGACTTGAGAATCCAAGGGTACCCCCGAATAGTATCACTTGAGGACCCAAGGGTACCCCTAATAGTAGCACTTGAGAATCCCAGGGTACCTCCCAATAATAGGACGTGAGGACCCAAGAGTACCCTCTAATAGTATCACTTGAGAACCCAAGAGTACCTTCCAATAATAGGACTAGAGGCCCCAAGGATATCCCCAGTAGTAGCACTTGAGGACCGAAGGATACCTCTCAATAATAGGACTTGAGGACCTAAGGGTACCCCCAATAGTAGCACCTGGGAACCCACAGGCACCTCTCAATAATAGGACTTGAGGACCCACGGGTACTTTCCAATAGTAGCACTTGAGGACCCAAGGGTACCTTCCAATAATAGGACTTGAGGACCCAAGGGTACCCTCTAATAGTAGCACTTGAGGACCCAAAGGTACCTTCCAATAATAGGCGTTGAGGACCCAAAGGTACCTCCAATAGTAGGACTTGGGGCTCCAAGGGTATCCGTAATTATGGATACCTGCTTTATATCGAAATATAGTTTTAAACATAAACTACTATGCAAGTGAACCGGTTACCCGTTGAACGGTTACCGGTTCACACCTGTTACCGGTTCATACCGGTTCACGGGTTATCGGTTCAACGGTTACCGATTCCTACGATCAAGCGGTGACTGATCGTCACCGTTGCATCCCTAGTCACGACTGGTCATCAATGATTTGATCTTTAATTTATTACATGAATAATACCTCCCTCTTTCTTATCAGATTATCATAAACTCATCTTAACCTATTAAAGAGCTAATACGACTCATATCGTGGAAATAATTGATTATTAATTCTATGATATAACTTGTATTAGTGCTTTAGTAGGTTATGATGAGTTTATTATAATATTATAAGAAAGAGGGAGATATTATGCATGTAATAAATTAAAGATTAAATGATTGATGACCCAGTCATGACTGGTACCCAGTCATGACTGGGCACCAGTCAGACTGGGTACCAGTCATGACTGGGTACCAGTCGGACTGGGTACCAGTCATGACTGGGTACCCAGTCACGACTGGTACCCAGTTCACCAGTCATGACTGGAACTGGTGCATACCTAGTCGAAAAGTTTCAATTGAAAATAACTTTCTTATATCTAGATATTGAATTCTAAAGTAAACTCGATTTTTGTGATCTGTCTATAGCAAGGGACTATTTTTTTGGAAATTCAATATCTCGACAAAACAATATTCTTTTCGATTGAAATTTTCAGAGTATCCTAAGGATCATTTGTTCTATCTATAGAGTAAATTTTAGATAGAAATTCGGTTATTTAATTTTTCGTGGAATAGCTAAACATGGATCGAAAATTCCGTAAAACGGTTATCATTAGCCACCAAAGACCCAGCGAAACAAACTCTTTGAGACTTTTGCTATAGTGTGGATGTGGGTGTGGGTGTGGGTGTGGGTGTGGGTGTGGGTGTGGGTGTGG